CAGTGCTCGTAGTGTGGAGCGAAAAAAAGAAAGACAGCTGTGAAACATAACCAGCTTTGTCTTTTTGTAGGAAACACACTTTAGATCTTATTAGGGTAAGAGGTTTTTGAGTTAATGCCGTCTGTAACTGAATGTGTGTCAAGAATATCGAAAACAAAACCAACTGAACCGCGCTCATTTCTGGCGCCACCATGGATGTACAGCGCCCTTAGAATTTGCCTATGGTGCCTATGCCACGGGCCGGCCCTGAGTTGGCTGAGTGTTGAAAATACTCGCGCTCACCTCCCTCGCGACAGAGCACATAGGAGATAAATGACGTCAGTACATAATAACCGGTTATGATTATTACTGAACCGATACCGAATTGTCCGCGTCTGCATCGCGGTGCACCAAAGAAACAATTAATTTTGACACCCCTAATGTTTAATTTTTTTGCGCGCGTGATGAATTCCTTTGCGTAATGTTTTTAATCAAAAGACAGGTAATTTAATTACTTTTGATGTACTAAAATATTTATTAAACAATTTTTATTAAAAAAAAAAGCACACATATTAAACCCGTAAAACTGAATAAAGTGCAAGGTCTATTTGAAAACGAAAGAAATTAGTCATCTATTTGTCATTATTTAATACATAAAATAGGCAAGTCTATTTATAAATGGAGTTTAATTGATCTGAAACGTACATTTTCTTTTCTTGTAAATAATAAAAGTTGTATCAGATTGATAAAAAAAACTAACCTGAATACCCGCGTGAACAGGGCCACAATGACTTTTTTTTTACATTGAAACAATTGGATACAGTGTCTTCTGTTTACATGACCGGCAAACGAGTCAGAAGAAAAAAACAGCTGAATCTCCGTGAATATTTGGTTAACTAATAAAACAAAAGAGCTGTCTGGTTTAGTGATGTTAGTAATGCATAGAAAAATGCAAAGCAGAATTCTCCTGAGCTTATTAACCCACTGATGACAGCCACTTTGTGATGGCTTTTAAAGTGGTTAATGAGGTTTGTTGTGTTCACAGACTGTAAAATATATGGACGTAGTATCCGTGACGTCACCCATAGGTTTCTAAAAAGCGCAAAAGAAGCCACAAGTAGGCGCAGCCAACCGTCGCCATTTTGTGCGCGTCATCACACCCACGGCGGGATACCAAACAAGGGCAAAGAGGCGGAGAGAGAGCGGGCCTACAGACACCTGCTGGCATTTAGCTTGGACCTGGTTCAGACACACTTTACTTTGGGAGAAACGCTTAATACTTTATCACCTGCGACTCGTTTGTGTTCTGACCACTTGTGCTTGGTTGTACACTATATCAATAAAGAGTTTAGACTTGTAAAAACACTGCTGTAATACATTGAGCCACTAAACATTGTTCTTATGACGTTTTTCAACAGGAGGAATATGCAAATTACTTCCAAACACTTCAGATATAGTCTGTGTTAGTTAATGTGAGACTATTGATAAAATCCAGCATAACACTGTATGACAACGCTTCAGATGACTGTTCTAGAGCCTACAGCTAATCAATCTGACAGATTCTGGAGTGCATTACAGCTCTAAATATAAATATAAACGATAAATGATCTTAAATAAAACAAATACATGTATAGAGATGGTATATAAGTATATAACTTTACTCCCATGGGAAACGGAGGCCACGTGAATGGTTTGTGAGCACAATTAAGTGCACTCAGCATGCCATGCCATCTAATAATTGAAGGAAACAAGTCCAAAAGGCAGTTGAGTGTGTAAAGCCACATAACAACACATAAATACGATAAATACGCCGAGTTCAGTGGCTAATCTGCAGGATTCAGCTGAGGTGACGTGACGGCGACCAACGAGACCTAGCTGTCACTCAAGTGGCCACGCCCTTAATTATGCAAACTTTATATAACTTAATATAAAGGAAACGGATGAGTTATAAAAGAATCCACCCCCCTCACAGTTGTCATGAAGGGTGATATTAGCTGTATTAACCAAAATCTTTTTTGTACCAGGCTGTAAACACCTTTTTTCTGCTATAAAGTTGGCCATTCTAACAGTGGGCTCAGTTGAAATTTGCTCTATTTTGGAGCCAGGACCGGCCAGGACTAGGGGAATTTCGGATGAATCGCAGTTTTAGTTACTTCCGTATTGGCTTCCTCAGAGAGAGCGGGAGGTTGCCGCTTGGGTACAATCTGTAAAATCCACTCATTAAAATAACGGCTTGGTCTTTATCCTGTAAAATTGAGATGCTATTTAATTATTAATTGTGGGCCACAAATATCGTTATCGTGATAAAAATACGATTAATCGTGCAGACCTAAACTCAGTGTTGAAGGTAGGGCTGGGCGATTTGGCAAAAAAAAAAAAAAATCTAGGTTTTTTATAAAGTTTGACCGATTCACGATTTAGATTTTTTTTTATTGTGTCACTAGTCTTCTCAAAACATTACAACAACATGACTGAAGTAACACTCTCTTTAAAAGTAACTTAAACCGTCTGGTTAAGGAACGTCGTATTTTTAATGGCCATGTCATACAAAAATCGGTCAAGGTGTAAATAAATGTAAAACAAATTCACGAGTTAAATAGCGTTGCTGACGATTTGAATAAGAAATCTTTGTGTAAATATTGCAGTTGCAGGAATACAGAGGTATTTTTTGCAAGTTTTGCCTAGGAAAGATTGGCTGTCAGCTCGGCTTTGACTTTGTCTTCTGATTGAATGACAGGTTGTAATGATGCTGCCTTTTTCTTAAAAAGAATGGAAGAAAAGGACTGAACATGGAAACTGTAAAGCCTAATTTAACTCAATGTGTGAAGTTGTGGACGTATAGCAGGAGCAAATACAAGCACCAGATGTGTGTCTGATATAAAATAATATATTTCATCTATTTTTCTTTTTTCCCCCTTTTAAATATCGATCATTTGATGCGCTTTGCTCCACTCTCTATTATGCTGGCTGATCTGTCTGGTTTTCAACCAGGTCCGCTAAATGACATCATGGGGGCGGCTACTTTCATTTTCACTGCAACTGGCCCTCACCTCTGCTCGTGTTCAAACCAAAAGATCGGCGCGTTTTTTCACATGGCAGGCTTTTACGTCCTTCAAACATGTTGAAATCGAGTTTATCGACTTGATGAGGGAATGTCTTGACAATCCACGCAGACGTGACTCAGACTAATGCAACAAGTAAAATCCTAGATGACTTCACGCTTTAACAGGCAGTCAAGCAGGTCGCACACCAGAAGCGCCGCGACACGGCGCGCACATGACAGTTTAAACTATCACAAACCAAACGCGCACATTCCCATGATATTTAACATGAAACTAATAAGATGGCGCATTAGAAAAGCGCATTAGTGCCATTATAATGTATTAAATATATATTTTTTAAAAATCGCGATTTCTCAATTTGATTCAAAATAAAATCGTCTGAAAACGTAAATTCGAATTAATCGAAAAAAATCGCCCAGCCCTAGTTTAAGGTCATTTATTTATTTATTGCCACATCAGCAACTTATGGCTATTTCATGGCAAAATGGATTCTTCCTGGTGGTACCTTTTTCAAAATGTCCATCCAAGTATTCTTCTTAAAAGGTTTGTCTAATTGTATTTAAACTTCCACATTCCAACAAAATATGTTTCACGGTAAGAGCAGTCTGGCAGCAATTACATTTAGGTGGTGTTGAAGGTAACGAGTTAATTAAATACCTCAGTCAACGTAAATGGAGTAACTTCACAGTACTCACGTAGATTATAGTTTAGTTTATAGTTTGTGGCACACGTTTTTTCTCAAACAGTTTGAGTTACTTCAACTTATTGGGTTTTACAGTACTCAGTTGGTTTGCGTTCTCCTCATTTATCGGGTTTTACCGAGCTCAAATAGCTTCGTTTACTCAACTGGATTAAGTTCACAGCACTCATTAGGATTAGTTTTTGAACTTAAATGGTTTGATGCAGTCAGTTTCCTGAAATGGTTTGAGTTACCTTAACTTTTTGGGTTTTACAGAGTACTATTTATTCAAGATGTAATCACCTCAAACAAAGAGACAACAAACTGAGACAACAAATTGAGTCTTCTCTATCATAATTCAGCCCTTTTGAGAAATGAGCATCAACGCATCATTTAGAGTGGAACTTGACTCATTTCTTACACTCCAGACTGGTGAATTATTAATAACTGAACATGTGACATTGTGTGAATTATAAGCAGGATCTTCTCAAGTTCACCTAAAGGCAGTGTTAGGGTGCTTTCACACCTGTGAATCGATTCACAGAGATTACAAATGTTACATTGTTGCTCTTGGAGCGGTTCGCTTTCACACTGCAAAGTTTCTAATCGGACCAAAAGAGCTAAAACAAGTCACGTGCGAGTAAACTCTCCTCACATTGGTCAGAGTGTCAGGGGTTTATTTTGCAGCGTCCCGCTAAGCTGTCAGGAGAGGTGGTGGTTTGGTGGTGATTGACAAGGTGCACGCGACGTGTCTGAGGAGAGATGCGGTGGGGAGGGGTGAGAAGGGTGCGCGACGATGCCTATTTGAGGACCAGGAGGGAGACGCGAGATTACCGGGAGATCATCACTTGTTTGCGTGCATCCGGAGACTCGCGAAACTTCCCGCCCTACTCATAATTCTCCCTTCATATAGCCGTAAGCCTATTACATATCCATAAAACACAGTGATATAACCGCGCTCGGATCGTATCGCTTCCTCACTGCAATCAAACCGCACCAGGGTTCGTTTCAATCGAGCCGAGACCACCTCACTCAAGCGATCTCGGAGCGATTACTTTGGCGCGGAACAGAGCGCGATTGCCCTGTTCACATATGCCAAACGAACCGCGCTAACTGGGCAAACGAAATACGTTCCAAAACAAAAGTGTAGGTGTGAAAGCACCCTTAGTGTTTGTCTGATCAAGTGAGTCACTTTAAGACACTAATATGAGATTTCTCTAAAATATTTAGAGCTGCACATTTGATTGAAGATTAAAAGACTTTGAGAAATAAACACTAACCTGTTTGTTCCTCAGGATCTTCATGTTTCAGTGTGAACACTTCTGTGATCCTCAGATCTTCACTGTCCTCTTTAAGAGACGCCATCTTTATAATAGTAGATGATTCTACTCAGCCGCTTCTCCAAGAGTCTCTTTGTGTTTAGACACTCTGTTTAGGATGAGAAAAAATAACAGAAATAAATAAATATAAAAACAAACACATTGACCAGTGTAATAAATACAGCATGTTCATGAAAACTCTAAACGACTAGTGTGAGTGTATTTACACTGATTTTACTAGATGGTGACTTCAGTGCGCGATGATTCGATCATTCAGTGAATCATTTATTTCAAATCACTTTTAATATGCAGTTTATAGAGGTAAAGTTGATGTTACATTCGCACATTCAGACTTCCCCTTAATAATATAACTTCATAAAAGTAGTATTTGCAAACCCTAAATAGCGAAATCATATTAGCAGCAAATTACTATCAAAGTACAACATTGTTCAGAGTCAAATAAACAGTGCTAATGCTATTTTCAAATCACACTTGCATGCTAATTCCGATCGAATGTTCAAAGTAACATGGTAAACATTACAGAGACTTCTAAATTATCGAATGTGTGAATATAAACCCAACTTTATATGCAGTTTTCCTCTACTCGTCAGTGACTGGACTCATGTTTACAAACAAATTCACGATACAGAGAGAAAACGAAACGCGCATATTATGTCACTCACGTGCTCTTTAAGCTTTTATTTGTTTACATAAATGTTAACTTCGTAAGACATTACGTTATATTTGATGATAACTTGTTTAGCGTCGCTAGTAAAACAAACAAACCTTCCTTCCTTCCTTCTGCTGACGCGCAGACTTTATAACGTCACACACCAGTACCAAAATAAAAGTCGCCTCTGAAGAGATCGTTTGTGGTTTACTTTTCCAAAACACATATTTGGCATGATGGGGGCTGTAGAATTTCTGTTGAGATGTGATTTCTTCGATTAGCTAAATTTCACAAACAAGCTTTATTGGCCTGGATGCTGGTATTTAAGCACAATTTTTTCCCCCAAACAGGAATAAGAGATGTAATCATTATAAAAATATATCTCTCTTCCTCCAGAATTGGTATGAAAATTAAATTGTATTAGTTAGACAATTTCTAAATTTAAATGGTAATTTATTATCTTACAGTGAATTTTTAGATAAATTTGGTTTTCCAGTTACTCCAAAGGAGTATGCCATATATCTGATGTATTTGATGCCACATCTCAACGGCAAAAAAATTACCTTCCTAGCACAACTTTTTATTATTTTAGGAATGTTCATTATACATTAAAAAAAAAAAATAGACTCGATCAAAGCCAAATTCTGTTCATTTCCTTCGAGAGACTAAAAACTACTGAACAAGTTTGGAGAACATCGTTAATAAAAAAGCAAAGACTTGTAATATTCTTAAGGGATATGAGATTCTTAATTATTGAATGTTTTTATGTACACTCTGGCATATATTTTTGTATATTACTGTATAAATATGTATTTGTTGTTAATAAATGAAAAAAGTAAACAAAAATCAGCTGGCTGTAGTATATTAAGCTAACCTGAGAGGTCATAATGCTAATCACATAGCACAAACAGATTTGGTACAGTGGCAAGAGAGAACGAGGGTGTTAAAAAATAATAGGTGGACAATGAGATTTAGGAATTGGACATGCTTACAATATCTCCCACTGTAGTATTTGGAAATAATCTGACAAATTCCAGAGTCACAATTTCATTTATATGGGTACCAGCACATATAGGGGTCAGTGGGAATGAGTTCGGCAGACAATTTATCTAAACAAGCAGCACAACAAGCAACAACAGATACTGATTTTAAATACAGTAAATCAGAAAGCGTGGTTAAAACAAAAGAACATGGGAATATTAAAATATTAAGAACACGGGATGTCAATATTACACCATTCAGGATAAAGGGGTAGGGAAACAGGAAAAGCAACAATGAAAAAGACACGTTTACAAGAATGAACCTTCACCATAGAGCACTCAAAAGTACATAATATAGGATTAAAAAAAAAACATGCAAATGGGTTGTGTGAGTGCAATAATATCCATGTGATTATGCATTGCCCAATATAGAAAAATCGTGAATCGCTACATTATTATTATTATATTTTTATCATTTAAAGGGCCGAATTCTAACTGAAGAAAGTTAAATGTACTGATCAGTTTGTTGCCCAATATTCCCAATATATAAAGACATAGACCAGTGGTTCTCAAACTGTGGTACGGGCTTACCTCTAGTGGTACGCAGAGTAATCACTGAGCAAGGAAAGTAAAAATTAAAACATTTTTAATAATTTGATGCGTACGATATCACCAATGTGATAAGCATTGGCTGTTCTCTAAAGCCTATGATTAAAGAGCTGTGCTTAAAAAAATTGAACCCACAGGCTATTAAAATGAGTAAGAACTGCAGCATGATGCGCTTACGTATTTCAGGCGTGCCCAGTTAAAAAAAATCGTAACCTTTCAGAATGCTGCACTGCAAATCACGTGACGAGAACCGACGGATCAGCTTCATATTTTGTGTGGAATATAATTTCGTTAGACTAATTATCTCAGACAAACTAGGAACACCCAAAATCTGCAGTGCTTTTTAATTTTCTCCATGAATAAAACTTGTATAAGAGTGCTGCAATGTTTTGTTAGCTTGACATCCTCTGAGAAAAACGGGTTCCCTAGCAATCTACATAATGTTTAGATTTCAAAAAGTTGTCATATGTACATGCAATATATATTTCAACATTTATCAAGAATTGTATAAGTATGAATATGACTCTTCCTCGAACTGTGCAGTGCTTTAGCTGCTTAATTTGGCCAAATACACTACTTTATTTCAATATTTGTCATTTTGGTGGTACATGGAGAGACAATTTTTTTTTGAGGTGGTACTTGGTGAAAAAAGTTTGAGAACCACTGACATAGACTATTTAAACAGTTAAATGAAAAACAAGTGGAACATAACATGAAGAACATTATACTGTAGAGTAAAAGTGAAGATTGTGTTAGATATGTATATAACTTTTTGAAATATATATATATATATATATATATATATATATATATATATATATATATATATATATATATATATATATATATATATATATACAGTGCAGTATTTAAAATGTCCAGTAGGTGGACAAAACCACAAGTGACTGCACAAAAAGGATAGTGATTCAAAAATGTATGTTTTGGCGGGCCGAATCTTGTGTTGGCAGTTTCAGACATTACATTTCCATGCATTTAAGTCCTACAATGATACAAAAATCTATATGAAGCATACTACGAAGATAAATTCTGCTGAACAGAATAGTAGGCTACTAAATAAGCTAAAATATGTCTCCGTCTTTGGCTGCTCTTTTATGCCTCCCATATACAATGACCCCAATTAAATATTCAAACAATATAATTGTAAAAAACAGTCTCAAAATTTGGACCCAATTTTTGCGCCATTTTGGTTTTCATAATATCTCTTTATTATCCCCAATACACTCCAATCCTGTTTTACCCTTCTATCTTGGACGGTGCTTATGCCTCATGGAGAGATCTTGGATTGGCTTCTTTTGGTGATCTTTACATTGACGGCGTTTTTGCCTCTTTTGGTCAGTTGGCCTCTCAATTTAATGTCCCTAGATCCAATTTTTTCAGATACTTACAAACTCGAGATTTTGTGCACAAAAAATGTGTTAACTTTCCAAATGCACCGCCAACTTCAGATCTAGACACAATACTGGGCATAGATCCCTGTGCTAAAGGTTCAATTTCTAAATTATTTAATATAATTGTTAATCTTCAATTTTCTTCTGATAACTTACGGACCACCTGGTCTCAAGACAGGGGAACTGAGATTACCGAGGAGACATGGAAAGCGGTCTTGAACAGGGTTAACTCAATCTGTGCACGTCACAGGCTAATACAATGCAAGGTAGTGCATAGAGCTCATTGGTCCAAAAGCAGGCTAGCTCGCATCAATCCGTCTATAGACCCTGAGTGCGACAGGTGTCATTCTGGTACAGCTACTTTATTTCATATGTTTTGGTCCTGTCCTTCCTTGCTTTGTTTTTGGAGACAAATATTTCTCTCGCTATCAGCTATTACCACTGTTGATATCCCACCATGTCCAATTATTGGTTTATTTGGGGTTCTTCCGCCCGACCACACTTTACCCTCTCATTTTGTAGACTTTGTAGCCTTCTTAACCCTTCTGGCTAGGCGATTAATTCTTCTGAACTGGAAGAGCCCTCACCCTCCTTCTCACTCTCGTTGGACAAGAAATGTTCTTTATTTTTTGAAATTAGAAAAAATTAGGTACTCTCTTCACCGAACTAGCACTATTTTTATTAATTTGTGGGAACCCCTTCGCAAATATGTCCAAACTCTAATGCCCAGCTTTTATGGGAAACTACTTCTGGTCAACACATTGTAGACTTGTTTTTTATGTATATAAGATTGCACTAGTGTTGTTGTTTTTATTTTATTTATCTATTTATTTTTATTATCTTATTTTTATTTATTATTGTTTATTTTTATTATTACTATTTGCTCAAAATACTCTTCAGTGTATTTGCTTATTGTTACATGTTTATGTCTTTGTAAATTTTTTGTAATGTTTCACAATGTATAAATAAAACATTAATAAAATATGTCTCCGTTTCTTTGTTGTTTAATAGGTCAGACTGCCGAGACTTGATTGATTTTATAAATTCAGAAATGGTCACAATGGTCATATGCAAAGAAACATGTCCGACACTCTATAAAGCTGGACAACATTGTCTTGAAGCAAGTCGAGGAGGTCGAATATCTTGGAACAGTGTTATCCCGTAAGGATCTCAACGCAAGGGTCGCCGCATCTGGCAGATTACATCATGCTTTAAACGGGGCTTATCCGGGAAAGAGAGAAATCTCCAACAGAAATAAGCTAGCTGTTTATAACGCCACCTACATGCCTACTCTTACCTATGAGTGTGAGTCTCAGGCACTTAAAAGCAGCAGGAACAACAGAATGCAGGAGATAGAGATGAGGGCGCACTTACACTATGCTATGCGAACCGTGCCCAGGCGCGTTTCCCAGTTCAGTTGGCCGACTCTGGCCTGGTTGGAAGAGGTGTGCCAGAGCGTTGTTCACTTGGGTTTTAGCACGATACGCTTGTAGTGTGAGTGCAAAGTAGTGATGGGTCGTTCATGAACGATTCGTTCATTTTGAACGAATCTTTAATATGACTCGGGAACTACGAGTCCTCTCAGGGAGTGATTCGTTCATCCGCGTGTGCGCACATTTGTGCAGGTAGTATCGTTAATTTCAAGTCTTCATCACATTGGCAGAAGCCAATCATACGCGTTTAGAGCCGGAAAAAGAATTGATCCGTTCATCTCTCGAGTCCTCTATCGGGTCTGAGTCACTCGTTCCTCACGGGCCAATCATACGCGTTTAGAGCCGGAAAAAGAATTGAACCGTTCATTTCTGGAGTCCTTGGGTTCGAGTCATTCTGTCACGTGATGAACGAAGGATCATGGCTCCTATCGGCTTAGACTGTGCATTGATTAAGATTATATGTGACTGTCAGTGTAACGTGAATGAACCCCTGACATTTGAAGACATGAAGAGGTGAGCTGAGCAAAGAGACAACAATACCTTCATAGACATAAGTGCAGGTTAACATTGAATTATTATTTTCAGATTCAGATTCAGATTCAATTTATTTGTCACTACACTTTCGTATAGCGAGATTGGACCCCCCAGACCATACACAAAACATCACAAACAACTTTTCAGGGGAGACAGATCTTAGGAGGTAGCATTTAGAAACGAAGAA